GTAGATAATCCTTTGTAAGTTGTGTAGTTATAGGATAAATTGCGCAAGGAGTGTGTTACGACCCGTGAATGCGTGCCGTTGTTTTCTGGAGTGAAGCATCTGACCACGGTTCAACAAACGCCCTCGATATCTCGTCGGATGGGCAGGTCCACTGATTTGTGGGCCCCGCCCCAGTTGATCCTCTTCCAGGCTCTCCGTGCTTGATCGCTGATGAAGCAACGTCTGAGCAGTGAAGGCTCTGAGGTCATCCCGCGGGTCCCCGCTCCCCCACTTGTACATATGCAGGTACTTGCGCTGGTGCTGCGCTGTTGCTCTGCTCTACTGCTCTGCCACTCCTGTGTTCCTCAGCTACAGCCTAACTACTGCCACACCTTCCAGTCCCCGCCAGTGAGGGGCCCCCCTGCGCATTTCCACATGGGATCCCACTTCCTCATCGCAGCAGACTTGCTTCGATCGTCTTGTCGTATTCCTCCCCTACCATTGCCTCCTTTTCGCAGCAAAATAAACACGGTTTCCCCCTTCAGCATCATGTTCAACTGGGCAAAGCAACAGTAAGTTTGGGAAAAGCGCGTAGCTCCTTACCCCCTGGCTCTTGCGCCCCATGGCTCCGCAGTCTCAGCTAACCCTTGAATCCTGTGCTCTCCGTCGCCAGGCTGGCCAACGTCGCCGGCACACAGGAGCCCATCTATGGCCCGTCGGCTATCAGATCCATCGCTGAAGAAGCAAAGGACATCCCGTACACGGAGATCACCCGCGATGACCTGAAATGGAAGGCCATGGACTCGACCTGTGTTGAGACTCAGACCTTTTATCTGGCGTCGGACAATGGTGACGTTGGTCTCGTGCAAGTCATCTATAGTAACGTTGCGTGCGTGGAGAGTCCTCTTCTCCTCTTTTGTCTTGCGATTTATCTTCAAGGCCGCCATGGATGTACTTTCAGCTAATCCACCGCACCATCTCTCCTTTGGACCAATAGCGGCATGCGGACCACCTGCCAGTTCAACTCCAAAATATTCTCCAAAGATGCATCCAAGCCTCACTTGTGGTGCTCGACCCCTCTGAATAACTTTGGATTCAATGAGGACCAGACCGGCTGTTTTGCCGATGACTGCGTCCTGGAACTCTCGAAAGACGGAAACGAGTATACCATCAAGAGCATGAACGATGAGAGATCAATCGTCAACATCAAGATTACTAGAACTGCCCCCGGCTTCGTCGCCGGCAAGACCGGAACGACAAAGTACGGCACCAACCTCGAGAAACCGTGGGGCTGCATTCGGCACGTCTTTTGGCCACGATGCGCCGCCGAAGGAACAATCACCACCCCTGATGGCCCTGTCGACTTCAAGGGCCGCGCCATGTATTCGTTTGCGCTACAGGGCATGAAGCCTCACCACGCCGCTGCCAAGTGGAATTTTGTCTGCTTCCAGGGCCCCAGCTACTCTGCCATCATGATGGAATTTACCACCCCCGCCTCGTACGGCACCACCTTGGTCAACGTAGGTGGTATCGCCAAGGATGGCGAGATTCTCACTGCTGGCGCCGGCCACGAGATCATTCATGCCGAGGTTAAGAACGATACGGAGAACGAGTGGCCGGAACCCAGTGCGGTCAAGGTGGCGTGGAAAGGCACCGAAAAGGATGCCAAGCCAGTCAGCGCCACCATCGAGGGCAGCTTGGGCCAGAGAAGTGACCGCGTTGATGTCATGGCAGAAGTGCCGGGTTTCGTCAAGACCATCGTGGCTGCTGCGGCAGGTACAAAGCCCTATATCTACCAGGTATGTCATATATACGACAGTCGTCGTCGTCGTCGGCTGAATCCTTCATGCTGCTCTCCTCACTGACACACAACTCTTTCGGTCCTCAGTACACACCAAAGATGACACTGAAGCTCAAAATCGGAGATCAAGAAATCGTCGAAGAGGGCCAGCTACTGATGGAAGCTACGTTTATTTCGGAGTAGTACAAGCCGCGACTACGGTAAGCATGTCTATTAGGGTAATGGTGCTACGTTGTCGTTCAGTTTGGGGGTTATTTGTCCTTTGACGCGCAGAATGAAGAATGATGGCACGCGCCACAATTGGGTATGCAACACATAATTATTCATCCAGGGACCCAAGCCGATGCGGACGGCCTTGGTCACTCGCTTCAATATTTCTATCCTACCATTTCCTTTTCTTGTTTCCTAAGCATATCGGCGGTTTGAGGATGGCCGGCTGGGCATAATTTGGGTAGCCTTACATATTTAATCCGTTTCTTCCTTCCTTGCACACTAGCTTGCAAAGATAATTGGACCGTGAAAGCAGTGTGCTTCGTTCCTTTTTGTCAAGCTGGAGTGGATGTTCTTGTGGGTTCCTGTAACGTGTATCGTTGATGGGCATGGGCCGTTGCCCTCGAACTCAGATACTCCCGAGTCCCTACTGTATGTACATATATCGAACCTCCGGCAGGCAGGTCCCACTCCTTAATTTTAAGCACCGGGAATACGTAGATTTCGCGACCGTCATCCACATCGCTCCCCCCCTCTCCGCCTCCCTCGATGTGATAAAGGAACACAAGACATTCGCACCAAAACCCTACACTGTGTCACGTACACTGCTACCGCGTGAAATCCTAGAATCAACAGCAGGCCATCCATGACTCGTCCTTCAGTGCAATTGCGCCAGTAATTACCCAAGACGATCTTGCAGCGGTGCAGACATGCTGAGGGGTGGAAAGATGTACTTATAGAGGCCCTGATGGAGGCTACCCGGGGAAGAAATATACCCGTTCAAATATGCATGAAAAACGCGCAAAACCCCCGCGCTCAGCTGTATATAACTGTTCCTCTATGAACTGGAAATGGCCAAAGACTTTTTAGGAAATGCGTATACATATGCGTCATCATAAAGATCCCAGTTACATTACCCTTCATATCTTCGTATTTTCATGACTCCTTTTCTTTTTCACGCGCGCCTGGGGACTTTGACCCTTCTTCCCTGATTTCCTTGCCAATAGCCTGCTCGACCTGCCAGATTGCTCTCTCGAGTTCGATTTCCAGGGCTGGCACGTCCAGTTTTTCGGAGAGGCTCCGCACCTGGGCCTGAGTCAAGAGCAGCGTCTCCTGCGAGGTAGGGCTAGAGCTTGAGGAGCTCGTATCTGAGGGAGTGGGAGCCTGTGGTTTTTGCTGGGCGCCCACTTGGCTGTATAGGGCGTCGAGGACGGGGGATGGCGTCGGTCGGAGAAGCTTCTTGGACACAAGGAATTGGATGTGTTTAGCGCCAGCGATGGCGCGCCAGTGCGACCAAGCGCGGTAGACCAGGTAGAAGAAGGGCAAATTGGGGATGCTGGGTGACAAAAATTTATGCGTCAGAGTCCCGATTCTTTTCTTTTTAATCAAGCAAGAAGTCTTCCTGCCTGGACGAGGGCGTAAGATCGAAGGGGGGATATGGAAAGAAAACTCACATTGGCACAAGCGCAAAGGGAATCGTGATGGGCATTCCCACAATACACCACAAGATTCCCCGCCTATGCAGCCCATCCCGCTCACTGCCTATCCTTCTGACCGCGTCCTCCGCCTGAGCCTCAGACATGACACTTTGCGGAAACATCAGATCAACGTGATCTTGGTTCTGCCCCGGCGTCTGCTCCTCGCTCGTTTCCGCACTATGCCGCCGTAGCTGCTCCCGGCTCGACAGCAGCGGCACAGACTTGAGGCCCCATTCCTCGTAGGGTATCCGCCGAAATGCGTGGTTCCCGTACTCAACCACCTTCTTCTGCCATCCTGACTCCTTCTTCTCCCAGCTGGACCATGTGCGCTCTGCCCAGGCGGCCCCGCGGTCGAAGTACGAGGTGTCAGTCGGGGCGGTCGCGTGGTGCAAGCGCTGCGCGTAGAGGAGGCTCCGCCGTGTGGAAAGGGGAAGAAGGTAGAGACGCATTGTCATGACTCCTCACTGTGTTGAGTCCCCTTTGAGTTTGGGTTTTGTTGTTGTTCTCGACTTATCAGAGCGGGAGCGTGTCGCGGCAATGAAATCGTGATGCTGGACTGGAGGAGAGACGCCCACACAGCTTGAACAAGAACCAACGACGGACGATCAATTATTTTATATGTTGCAAAGAATTAGAATTTTCCTGCAAAACATGCAGTTTGTTCCTCACTATCGAACTTTTCAAAGAGGGTGACCGCAAAGATGTGAATGATTGAGGGAGGCGCAGCAATGGGAGGCCGTCCTAGTTTCTTCGTCCTGGGAGGAAGCGCAGAAGGCCCAAGGGCGCAGCTTTGCGACAAAGTGGAAACGACTAACTAGGGGTGAGATCAGGGCGATCAGGGATGGGGTTTACATTTCACATGTAAATTACAAACTGTGTAAATTACGCGAAAATTACTCTGTAAATTACACCGGGAAAAATCGTAATTTACGTGTGAATTATAATGTAAATTACACCGAGGGTCGTAATTTTTTACACATTTTGCCCATCCGTAGGTGAGATGCAGGGCGGATTCTACCTATTGCTCCATGGCGCGGAACGGCGAGAGAGAGAGAGGATCGCCGTGAAGCGTAGGCTCCGATGAGGACACAGAAAAGGGCAGAAAAAGTAGAGCTAGCAGTAAAGGGTTCGTGACAGCAACCTGCTTACTTTCGTCGTAAATCCATGACGGCATGTCGTGGGCCACAGCGCGCGATGCCCGACGTGTTGACGTACTTGCCGAAGGCCCTGCAGCATCACGTGCGCGCCTTCTTGGAGCGTCTAGTTAGGCGGCAAACTTGCCGACGTTTGAACTTTGTCGGGATAGGGCCCACTTACTTGCCGCGCGGGAAATAGGCGATGCACAGGAGTGCATGATTTGACGAGATTGCGTTTTTTTGAGCTCATGTACTCCGTAGTTAGCTTCTAGAAAAGCCGCGTTACTGGAGAAAAGCCACGGACAAAAATTTCGAGGATGCTGCGACGTATGTATGCACATACTTTTTTGTTAATACATTCATAATATGCAATATTGCTTCACACTCTCAACCTCTGGGCGAATGGTTTAGTGGTACAATACTCCCTTAGCATAACTTCACTTGAGGAGTTAACATCCTCAATAGCCACTGCAGCAATTGGTAGTGGACCAGTGTTCGATTCCCTGTTCGTCCATCCCTTTGCCTAACTTCACTTCAGGACGTTAACATCCTCAATGGCCAGTGCAACAATTGGGAGTGGTCCAGGGTTCGATTCCCTGTTCGTCCAAACGCATCTATTTTTGTCATCTCGATCAACTTTTTGGCCTTTTGTCATGAAGTTTGAACACTGATCGTGAACAGTGGACAGTGGACACACAGATCTTTCGCACTGCGCAGGACGTATCTCTCATGAAAATGTCGCGCCCGAATCAGGCACAAGACTTTTTTGCTGTCCGTCAATTTGATGCCCAAAACGTTTCGAGATGCGATACCCAGGTCATATGCGAGTTGTCCATACATCGCTGGGCCTGAACACGCGACATACCCATAATGACCACAACTCTGTGGATAGACATTCCTTCTAGAGCGTAAATCTAGTATATTAAAACGGTAAAGTACCTTCTCCATCATGAGTGAAACATGCCTCTTGGAAACCCCCTCTCGCCCAACCTCATATGTATGTACACACAGATATAGACAGCACCGCATCCACCCCTTACAAGCCCTCTAGGGTCTCATCCAAACGTTTACGTACACATAGATGAACAATGCCGCAGCAAAGCCCTCACCAAAAATCTCCATTACGACTGGGGACTCTTGCTCCGACCCCCACCGCACCTTTGCCCACAATTTTCTCGGCTGCCCACTGCCATGATGAGGGACTCAGAGTTGGGGACGTAGTTCCTGCTGCATCTGACGACCCTTTCGATTGCTGTGACTGTTGCGACTGCTGCTGCTGCCCAGATTTTCTCCCGCTGTAGGCTTCCATGTCGCTCTCGTTGTCGGAGTCCACCCAGTCTCGGTCACTCCATGTCATGGAATCCGCTCGGTCTGAGGCTTCGAGTCGCGGACGCCCGAGGGGGATGCTCTCGCTGTCGCTCTTCTTGGGCAGCTCGGGCACCTCGTCCAAAGCTTCTTCGCCAGCTTCATTGACTTCTCCACCACCTTCGCGCTTGCTGTCCCCACCACTGGCGTAGTCACCTTGGTTACGCAGCTGGTGCAAGGGCCTTACTTCTCGTCCATCGGCGGCTGGTCCGTGATGGACTTCGAATGCTCGATCCATGTTGGGCTCTTCTTCATCGCGAATGCGTGCGGTCTCGGAGTCGCTAAAGTGTGCGTCGACCATGTGTTTGATCACCGGCCAGCCATGCGCGTTGGCAAACATGCGTCTCACAATCATGTTGTTATGCGCGTCTGGCTCCAACTTGACCAGTACTTTGCGCCACGACAGATCTCGGTGATAGCCTCGGGCGATTTTCTCTTCTACTCTCATGTTGGAAGCGTCTACGGTTTCCGAGGGATTGAGCTCAGGGCTGGTCTTGGTTGTGTCGTCGCCGTGGTCTTTGCCCGACACAGTTTCCTTGGAATCCGCATGCAGCGAATGGTTGGGCGGAAGAGGAGATGTGGAACGACTGCCTGGCGCTGATGGTTGCGGCGAGCCCGAAATCTTGGCAGAATTCTTGCTGCGACGACCGAACGTCGACTGGCGTTTCTTCAACGGCGGCGGCGATGGCGGCGGCGGGATATCACTGGGATGGTATACTCGGTCGTGAAAGATGGTTCTCGGTCTCTTAGACGGGTCAAGTAGATATTCTTCACTTGGGATACTGGGGTTGAGCACATCGCCTGCTGATTCGAAGAAAGTCGTTTTTGGTGGTGCCGACATGCCATCGGCATAGCCATCAACCTCATGTCCGGTAGTAGCCTTGCTTGGCTGCGGCTGCTGCTGCTGTTTCCTATCAGACTCGTCAGTGGAGCTCGAGGCAGCTATGTCGGAGCTGGCAAGAGGCATAGTTTGTCCTCGCCGCAGCATCCTTTTCTGCTTCGCCGTCGGAACTTGGGGTTTGGGCGGATCTTGGCTCTTGAAAAGACCAAAGAAGGTGGATAAACGAGAATTGATGCCAGAGCCTGGACCATTGTGATGATTGCTGCTACTGCTGTTCTCTATACCAGGCTCGCCATCCTCTTCACTATGAGCCCGCGGTACAGAACGGATGCTAGCTCGTTCGTCCTCATGCATCGCATCACTAGAGGGTTGCGGAACTTGTCGCATGCCCTCTTTGGGAGAGCCCTTAGGAGTAGTGGTACCAGAGTCGTCGTCTTGCTCTTCTTCCAAGGCGGGTTGCTTCCTGCGTCTCGATGACGCCATGTTCGTGCCGGTCAGTTCTGCCCACCCAAACCCAACAACCGTTTCTACCAAGCCGGCATCTCTCCGAGCCTTTTCAACGCGGCCAAGACCCTGCCAGTCGAGGAATAGGAGACAGCTTGTGCGGAGCGGCACGATTCCGTCATTGACCACATTGGAGTAGACTGTGCGGTTTCTAAACTTCTTCAGGGCCGTGTGAGCCGGGCCGGTGGGCAGTATTCGTAACAGTGGTTTCGACTCGGGCTGTGATTCGCCATACACCTTCTTATGCGCCGACTCGCCGAGGTTGCTGACAAGAGCGCCCCATCCAATCCGAGCAATAGTAGGCGCTCTCCAGGTCAAGCCAAGATCTTGCCCGGTCCTGCCCACAAGTCCAAAGTCAAGGGCGAACTTGACGTAAAGCGGGTTCTCGTTGCTTAACCCCAGAAAAGGGGTCGCCATCGCAATGAAATTCACGGGCTGAATGAGATCGAAGAATTTGGGCGAATGTTTCTGTATGTAAGCAATAGCGTATGTTTGAATCAGGCCGCCAAGAGAGTGTCCGACGAAACTTATGCTTGTGATCTGATAGCCTCTGCAGTGTCTATCATGCTTTGCCTTGGTAGTATCGGCTTGAATGTCACTATTCTTGTGCGCTTGTTTTACCTCGTGGTTGTCGTTTTGGTGTGGCTGGTCCTGGTGAAAGAGATGATGAGGATGAAGACTATGGTGGTGATGATGGTGATCACCCGTTAGGGCTTCAACAGCACCCTCACCGGCGCCGCCTTTCAGGGCACCTTTCGCAATTGGAAGAAATGGTTGGTCTGGATATGTCATCGATAGAATATACCGCGATAGTCTCTTCCCAAGGTACTTGATTCCTTTCTCTGTCTTCGTAGCGTTTCCAGGGTATCCACGCACGATGACTTCCTCATCGTCGTCGTCGTCGTCGTCGTCGTCGTCGTCATCGTCCACATTATTTGCGATACCATCCTGGCCTTCTTTAGGCAGTGAATCCTCGTTCATCGAGACATCAGGCTGTTTATCGGCCCTTGGCCTTTTTGCAGCTCTCTCCTTTGCCCTTCTAGCCTTGGCATCAATGCGTGCTTGCCTAGCGGCCGCATCAATGCTTTCTTTCATGTAAAGCATGTCAGCGCCTAAATTGCTGTGCAGACCATGCGTCAATATGACAAGATGGACCTTCTTCTTCTTGCCGTGTGGCTTTTTCGGTGGTTTCAGCTCCTCGACCTCCGGATCACCAGTGTTCACCACGCTCTGCACAGGTTGATTAGCACCGGCGTCCTTTCCAGTGCTCTTGTTTCCAGAGTCATCATCCCAGCCGGGAAGGCTGGGCGTGTTCCAAAGCGCCGCGGAATCGTCCACCTTAAGCTCTATGGCCCTTGAGAAGACACCCTTTGGCTGACCGGAATGGTGCCCATCCTTGGCACCGACATTTTGCCGGTGATCGATCAGTTTCCCGGGCTGAGGCACTTGGCTGAAGTTGCCCCCAATCGACGACAGCGACTGGCTGAGGTTGAGAGATTTATGATCGCGCGCCACGACTACATCGAAGCCCACGGCAGCTGAAGTAGAGAATATGACCTGGGAGGCTATTTCAATCACCCACTTTGCGCATTCTCTATCGTGTTCGGGACCCTTTCCAAAGGTTTTGTTGCTCCCAATGCCGGCGTCTTGGCGAATGTTGTCCGGGACGATCAGCTCGCACTCCCAGGATCCTCCCGCCTTGAGCATGGGCTCGAACCGGGGGGCTCCGTACCGGCGAGGATTGGTGAACTTTTCATTGGGGTTGAAGTGAGAAGGATACGCCGAAACGGACAGGGTATAGGGCCCGTGGACAAAGGCAGCGCGAAGGGCGATGGTCGAGGTATTTCGAATTCGAACATGTAGTTTTTCGGGTGAGGGGAGGATTCGATCTTGCGAGGGCGTGTACGTGAGGCTGTATCGGATCACCTCGCCGACCTTGACACTGCCGACCTGGTGCAGGAGCAGCATATTTTCTCAGAACGCTTCGGCCCCAGGGGCGTCGTGAGAGATGGGTGAAATGGGAACCACGAAAGCTCGTGAGAGCACGAAAGAGAGAGGGCGCCGTTGTCGCAAGCAGGCTATGATGTCAGCTGTCTTGCCAGCATCCTCGGCCACGTGGTACAGCGAGGTCCGAGCGTATGCAACGTAGGTATGTAATCGGAAAGAGGGAAACGACAAGAATAGTAAGGCAAAGCCTATTTCCGAGAGCGGGCTTGGTGTATGCTTGGTGTATGCTTGGTGTATGCTTGGTGTATGCTTGGTGTATGCTTGGTGTATGCTTGGTGTATGCTTGGTGTATGCTTGGTGTATGCTTGGTGTATTAATGCTCCCATGGCGACGCGCCGAGCTCAGTCTCCAAGATGCCTGGAAAAGGGGCTGCTCGCGAGATGATCAATTCTAATATGTACATACATAGTTAAGCTTGAAGGAGCGAACAGGGCACCTGCAGGCTGCAAGAGACGGGCTCACATGCCGTACCCCGCTCCTGCCGAATCGGAAGGAAGGGGCCAACGGCCGTGCAGCGGGGCGTGGCCGATGACAACTTGACGCCGGACGGGTTGAAATAGGCACACCGTGCAGTACATATGTACCTACCTACGTACATTACATGTCTATGTACATGTGCAAACTCGGACTGGAGGGCGGAATCACTTTGTCATTGATGTTTTTCAATTGTGGCTGTCGAATTACAAGTGCAGCAACTATATAACTACTGTACCCCAAGTGAGGGCTAGAAATGGCCAGAACTGGACTCGCGATTGGAAACCATCCCCAAGAACTCGTGAGCTCGGAGTGTGTTACAT